TATCTATATTAATATATTACTAATATAGTATATTAATATATTATTATTATTAATTTATTATATAGTATAATTTATAAAATTTAATTTTTTAAAATATCATAAAATTTTTATGTATAATTAATTTAAATTTTTTTATATTTCGAACAATAACGATCCGAACACGAACGAATGTATCACTGTTCTTGTCTGGTTCGTTTAACTAACCGATCGTTTAACTAACCGAACGATTTACTTATCGAACGAATCGAATACGAACTCATTGACGAAACGAACACGAACTATTCAAGAACAAAGAGCTTTTTTGACGGCCCTAGTCGCCGGAGCAAAACCGTGAGAGCATTTGGTTTCCTTTTAAGATTGCAGGCCATAGTCATAGCTGAAACCAGAACTCCATTAAATTGAAGATTAACAAAACCAAAAAATAAAAATAAAACAAACAGACAAAACTCCCGCATAGCATTTACATGTACATATAAGCACAAACTTGCAGAAATCTTCCAAAAAATAAACAAAAAGCAAGCTAAAAGTTCAACCATATCACATCCACAGCAAAAGAAAAGAAATAATGAAGATCCAAGCTTCACCAAAAGAGCACAGTTGTTCAGCTGAATTCTGTGGTTTTTACGTTATATCTGTAGAGAAGCATCTTTCTCTTGTTGCTGGAATTCTCAACTGTGAACAGAATTTTCCCGGGCTCGCCAACCCTGAAGCTGTTCTTCACCACGAGCTCATCAGAGGCGGCCATTTTCCTTGCCTTGTGAACGATGATAGTATAGCTCTCCTTTGAATTAGGCACAAACTCTGCGCCATAGGAGACATCCCATCCCAACACTCGAAGCTCCCAAATCAGAAGGCATGGCTAGAAAAAGAAAAGGAATTTTTATCCAATTAATCGAAATTACAGCTGAAGTTCCTCGTTAAAAATGAGATTTTTACCTCTGCAAGTGGAACTTCTAAGATCTCCTTGGTAGAGGGCTTAATATTGATTTCGGTAACAGCATCTGAAATGGTGAAGTCGGGGTTATTCTCTCTGTATAAGCCTCCGAATTGCAGTGGGACTTGCTCGGGAGCTACGTATCTATATTTGAAATAAAGCAAGCATTAAATGTGGAGAAAATATTATTATCATTTTACGAAAATAGGATGAAAGAAATGAGAAGATCTGCAAGACCTGAAGAGGACCTCAGCTGACTTCGATGGCCCAGCAAACACAAACTTGCTCTTTGTCCTCTGTGTCAGGAACGGGCTTATCATCTTATTGACAGCAAGATACCACCACGGCACATGGAGAAACAGCTGGAATGAAATTTCCATCAAAATTTAATTTTTTTTCAGTGATATAAAATCAAGATCGAATTTTTATGAACAGAGGAGCACTGAAATGAAAAAGATGGCTCATTTTTTGATACCTGCTTTGCTACGAACTCGGGATAGTTATCCAGCAGCAGACCAAGAGCATGGGGAAAATCTCTCTTGAGCGGCCCTGGAGAGTTCTTCAGATCAGTGACCTGAATCATGGTGGAGATTCCACCTGGCCTGAAATTCAGAAGCTGACGAATACCTTTCTCCAAATACTGTATCCTCCACCGGAGAAATCCCTTCTGCTTCTCATCGGCGAACGCTTTCGCATAAAGCTCCTTATTTTGGAACTGGCCATAAGCATTATAGCAAACAGGATGTCCCTCGCGGTCTACACCGCTCATGAAGACGACCTTTTCGATCTCCGACAGGCCAAGATCTTCCTCCAGGAGTGCCTCTATGCCAAAATCCCTCCTCCACGTTAAAGTGTTTTTGATCATTGTCATGGCTTCCTTGGCTTTGAAGTCCCTCGCACGGAGGAATTTAAGGAGGATGGTGTTGCTCCTCTCATCACCGAGAAGCGGAATCCCCCATATGAGCGGTATCTTCTCTTCCTCGGCTGGTGGGGGTATTGTTGCGGAAACTACAGTCTCTGCTATGGCCTTCACAGTCTTGGCACCATCATCATCGGCGGAAACAGGGGACTCCTCTGGTTTCGCCTCTGCAAATGCGGTCACCGCAGAAAGAACCGATTCCGAAGGAGAAAACTCGCGGTTTGTGATTGCGGATTGGAGGAGTTGCTTAAGCTCTTCGAGAACTTTCTTCTCGAGCTCCGGGAGGTCCGACGAGAAGTTGCTCTCTTCCTTGAAAGCTAAAGCAAGTGGGATTCCTCCCGAGTGGTTCTTCTTCTCTTTCTCAGCGGAATGCGTCTCCTGAATGAGCTTCTGCGGTTCTTTTTGGAGCTCTGGGTCGGAATCCTTAGCCTGCAACGGCGGGGGCGCGAGCGTCTCGGTGAGGACGACTTCTTTTGCTGGGGTGGTATCATCATAGGCCATTGCTAGAGAAGCACGAAAAGGTTTAGGGTTTGGAGTTTACGGGAAGAGGAAGAAGAAAGCAGATATCTTTATAGATGGAGAGGGAGGAGAAAAGAAGAGGGGAGAGAGTGAGCACACAGACTGTCAGGTTCCGTTAGACAGCTCCGACATCAGAAGCTGGTTTTGGGTGGGGTTGAAAGAGATGTGTAGCCTTTGAAGTAGCGTGAGTGTAGGGATTGAATGGCTTTGGACAGAGGCAACAGGCAACAGCAGATGTGCCGCACGTTACTGCGGAGTCTTGCGCCGTTCAGCGGGATTTGCGGTGGTGACTGCAAATTTCTGGGAGTTCGTGGCGCTGTTAATTTTTGGTTTATGCAGGAGTTGTTATTATAATAATGGTGGTAATTACAAATTAGGGGCAATGGGGCAGCGTTTTTGTCTTTTTTCTGTTCTGTGTTAGTTAATTGATTTTCAAAGGCAAGCATTCCAAAGGAAAAGTGATGCATGACATGCATTTCGAAACATTTTTTTGGACAATAAATATTTCAGTTTCAAATTCAAGATTTTCCAAACTCCTTAACTTAGGAAGTTTGTAGCTTAACTAATTATCTCGATAGGATGAACCCATTCATGCTACAATTGATTCAACCCTTAGTGATAACTGCTTATGACCATTTTATTCAAAATCTTACGAGTTTCTCGAGACTATTTTATTTTTTTTTGTATGTTATATGAGCAAAAATTATATTTGGAGTGAAGTTGTAGCTATGGTCTTTGAGTTGTGGGAGTAGATTGCATTCTCTATTATTACACACTTAATAATACTTTGTCTGAGCTAAGTCCCCTGATTTTTTCCTTTTCGAGTTTCTCCATGTAAAAAATCATGATGTCTCATTCTACTTTTTTTAAATTATTTGCATGTGTTGAATCATTGTCAAATCTTAAAACATTAAAATATCACCTTACCTTCTTGAATCTTCTGACATGCAACAGTTTAACACTGTCTGTAGGAAACAAAATCCGCATGATAGAAGTTAATACTTCTTTAATGGCTAAAAAATGTAATACATGAGCTTCTTGACCTAATACTTGCCATTGCACAATCTCAATTCAGGGTTGCTAAGCCCCACTTTAGTTTCCATGATAGAAGTTGGTGAAGGAACCTTTTTTGCACCTCTTGAAAATCATGTATGAAAAATGGAGGAGTGTCAAAATGAGATCTTCTAAATTAATGAAAGATGTAAAAATTGATGATAATGTATACTAGAGTGACACAACTACCTCAAAATTCTTCGATTAGACATATAGAGTAAGCATCCTTTCCATATGCTAAAGTTTCTACCCAAGAAGCTGGCCTCCTGAACAATAATAGCTTTGCACATACATCCCGTGTAGTTATGCCTAACATCAAGCCTCCAACATATGTAAAGATTTAAGTTTTACCTCACATAATTCGTGACAAAATACAACATCTAGTGAAAGAAGAAGTCATTTCTTTGCTTGGTTTAATTCTCAAGAGTCTTCTCCATATGATGAGATGGTCCTTCAAAACCTTATTTCAATAAGGGTTTTAGCATCCAAGCATTACTTCTTATGATGAGAAGTTTAATCCATATGAGCACATTGATCGAACCATTATAGACAAGTTTCTAACATGATCTATTATCAAGTGCTCTTTGCTACTCTTACATTACTTGATTTTATTCACCTCTAGACATATCCATCATATCTTCAATGTTTATGAAGTATTTTATTAAAAAGTTGAAGGATTGTAAACGACCCCTTAAGGGTAAGTGGTAGATATAGTCTCTGCTTGTACTCCTAGAAGACACACCCATGAGATAGTCTTGGTGGAAAGATAGTAGTGGACACAGTCCTAACTAGAAAGATCCTTTAAGAGAAAGTGTCAGACACAATCTCCACATATACCTCTCGAAGTCATGCCCATGATAGTCTCAATGGGAAGCTAGTAGCGGACACAATCCTCACTGGAAAGACCACTTGAGGGCATGCGGTAGACACAAACTCTGCTTATACCACTAAAAGACACACACATGAGATAGTTTTGATGAGAAGCTAGTAGTGGACATAGCAGTTACTACAAAGTCCACTTGAGAGAAAGTGGTAGACATAATATCCACTAATATCCTTGAAACACGTCCATGAGATAATTTTGATAGAAAGCTAGTATTGGGAAAATCCCTCACTAGAAAGACCCCTTGAGGGCAAGTGATAGACATGGTCTCTGTTTATATCCATAGAAGACACACCCATGAGGTAGTCTCAACGAGATGATAGTAGTGGACATAGTCTTTATAAGAAAGATCCCTTATGTGCTAGTGATATACAAGTTCTCCACTCATACCCCTAGAAGACACACCCATGAGCTAGCCTTGATGTAAAACTAATAGTTGACAGAGTCATCACTAGAAAGGCTTTATAAGAGCAAATTGTTAATAGAGTCTCCACTCAAAAAGTCTCAAAAGGTTATAAGCCTTAAATGTTATAGGTACACTAAAAAATATCATATGATTATAAGCCTCAGAAGGTACAAGTATACCAAAAAATCTCAAAAGACTCAACTTCATGGATTCTAGACTACTTTTGACCTAGACATAGACATAAGGAGTACTATGTCCCCGATTAACAACAATCACGAAGGAAAACATGAAAAAAAATGAAGATCGTTAGGATTCCCGAATCACAAACACACAAACCTCATAAATATTGAAGGACTCACAAAATTTTTCTACTAGTTTTGGTTTCTGCTATCTCCCCCTTGCTTTGCTTTCTAGAACTTTATGATTTAAAAGTCTCTCTGTGGTCACACCAGACTAGACTAGCTAAATTGGTAAACTAGAGATTTTTCCATGGAAATAACAGTTACATATTCCCCATAGGATCGATATGCAATACTCTTTAATCGCATCATTACTCGATACACACACTTGTGTTGTACAACTGTCTTAACACGCAGTAAGTTTTGGCGCGTCAAGTTTTTTGCACCGTTATCTGGAAAAAGACATTAATAATTATTTTTGCCATTAGGAAAACTTTAGATGAAAAACTTAGGATCTAAGTTTAGCACTTTTATTTTGTTATGTTTACTTTGTGTTTTTTTATTGCATCTGTATTGCTATTGTGTTTTCTTGCTGGTGCTAAAAAAACAAAAAAGCTATATATAATGGCGTCTTCTCCCGTGCTCGACTCTGCTAGGGTTTCACCTCATGGCGAACCCTAGCGTATGTTACGGTGTATTAACACATCCTTAAGCTCGATCCTTTCCTCTGGTCAATTTCGCTACGTCTGTCACACAGTCCTTCATTGTCGTTGCTGATTGGAAGGTTGGTTTCTGTCGCAATCCTTCGTCGTCGCAATTCTTCAGTTTCGCTCTCGCTGCAGGCTTTCGTCCCCGCTCGCAGCTTCATTGTGGACGTTCCTCGGCGCAGGCTCCTCCTTCCTCGGACTCAAAGCAAAGAGTTTATTTCAGCCCTCTGCTCGACTTGGACAGGGTCCAATTGATTCCCCTTTCGATTTTTTACTTTTGCTCTTCGTTTACTGTTATTTCGTTGTTCTATCACTGCACCTGTCTTTTGGTGATGGCTTCCGACAGATCGTATGTTGTTGGCCTTGCGCCACGCTTCAGGTACTCCTATATTGTGCTCTTTTTTCTCCTCCTTTTGAGATAGCAGTGGACATCAAGAAACCTAGTAGAAGGAATGGGAAGCTAGCTATATTTTTTACGGAAGCTGAATGTAATCAGCTTGCTTTCTCCCGTCGTCTGAATTTGGTTGAAAAATTTTTGTATGACCATCCTAAAATCAAGCTTATTCAGGAGGAATTTGAGCTTATGGACCTTCTTGAGAATTGAAAAATTGGACTTTTAGATGGAAGACACATCCTTATTCAACTTAATAATGAAGATGATTACACACGCTTATTTGCTATAAGATAATCTGGATCAATAATAGAGCTATGAAGATTTTGAAATGGTCGGTGAATTTTGATCCACAGACGAAGCCACCAATCATTCTGGTCTAGATTCGCCTTCCTGACATGAAATTTCATTATTTAACTCAGAAAGTGTTGTACTTTATTGCTTAAGCATATGGTAAGCCACTCAAAACGCACATTCCTACTTTCAATCTTTCTCGTCCCTCTGAAGTCTGGGTACTTGTTGAAAGGGACATCACTTTAATTACTTCTAAAGAAATTTGGTTAGGCACACAACATCATGAATATTGACAGAAGGTTGTGATTGAGTCTTTCCCTCACATTACTCAAATTGTCGTATGTTCGGCCACTCCATTTCTCATTGTCACCATCTACACCCCATCTCAGACCAAAAAAGCAAAGTGCTCAGCCAGAGTCAGTGATCCCACCTCCTGATCTACTCCAAGTTATTGACATTATTGATCATCGGAAGGATACTTATGAAGATATCATTATCCTCGCAGGTAATATGTCAACCTTTCAGCCTCCACATAATCATGATATAGGTTCCCCATCAGTGGAATCTCCTTTCCTGGGGGCGGGAAAAACTCTTCAGACTTCGCCTGCCCAGAGCCTATTATTGATGTAATGGGTGGTAATATTTCTACTACACTTCCGCCTCGATGTGCAACAACCTACACCTGTTCAACCACATTTGGACCAATCCACTAATCAGATGAGTCAATCCTCAGATAAAGAATGGTAGCTCTATACATCTAGGAAGAAGAAGAAAAATGGAGGCTTATTACCAAACTTGATGGATGATGCATTAGTTGTTTCGGGTAATAATAGTAAACTTAACAATTTGTTAGCTGGCTCCCATCCTAGAACTAGAGGCAAGGCAAGACTGAATTGAATCTTTCACATGCTAATTAAACATGCGAGTGCTGGCAGATTATTGGCGTATTTTTCTTCTGTATGTCTATTTTCTAATCTTTTTTTTAGCATACATGTATTTCTACGATATATATATATATA